CTTGAAGTTTAGAAGTTACTAGCTAAACATCGAGTATTAAATATTAAACATTTAAATTCAATAATTTCAAATTTTAAGTAAATTATACTTTTGAATGTATTATGCTAATTATAATTCTGAGAAAATAAAATGTTATAGATTTACCTCAGTGAAATTTAAAGATTATACAAATTGGTAAAAATATGAGTATTACATTTATTTATTTCCACTAAAGAACAGCTTATTTTATTACTTAAATAATCTCAATTTACGACTAAAGAACAGCTTATTTTATTACTTACACATTTTTGAAATTTTTCTATTTGAGAGAGTGGGGTTGTAGGAATGACATGGGGTTTGGAGGAAGGTAGACCAGAAAGAGTAGTGAATTTGACAAGGATCTTTGACTGTTTAATCTCATATGGTAAATCAACAATATTAAAAAAGTGCTTAGCACAGTCTAGCACGTTAGTCACTTAAAAGAACCTTCTTGCTTATATGCAAATCAACATGATTGGTGGTATGTCGAGAATATTGAGTGTGGTCTCATTTAAATTGAGATGCCCCAATAAAGGGGCTTGATTGTGTATTTAAATTCTAGGCCAAGGAAGTTGTATTTGAAGATAATAGGTAGCCAGTAGTTAGTTTTAAATACAAGAAATATTTATTGAGGTATTATCTATGTGGCCTGGTGTGAGGTATTGGTATGAGTAAAATGGCTCTGGCTGCAACCTAGAATTACTTGGGCATACTTTATAAAACACCAATGCCACATCCCATCCCAGACCAGTGAGTCTCTGTGAAGGGTGGAACTGGGTAATGATTGTACAGATCAGATTGAGATGCGTGCATCCAACCCTGGTACTGCCTTCAGATATTATGGGTAGCTTAGGGGTAGGCGAGGGGAGTACAAATTACCATCACTGCATCAGACCTAGTAAATTTTGGAAGCAGGGGTGATGGTGGAGGGTAGTGAGAGAGTGCTGTAGTTTTTTGTTGATATTGTTTGGTGTTTCTCTGGTGAGTTTTATAATTAGTTAGTTTTAGGTATCACTGCTCCAGAGATCTCTTTAACTCAAAATAATGTGTATTTAAAAATATATATATCTTCTCTGTGCCCGACATTTGCTTTCCATGACATTTCCTAGGCCTACAAACCATGAAGCCTCAGCCTTGCTCCTTGCACTCAGCCTTTCATGACTCAGAAATAATGAAATCAGTGATTTTCGAGGACCAATATGACTACAATGTTTAGGATAATATGAGAAGGAAGAGAGCAGAAGTAAGAAGACAAGAAGACTGTAGTGATCTGTGTGTGAGGTGATGTGGTTTTGTACTGACCAATAGACGTGGAAAAAAGGAGGAAATGATGAAGCCACGGGATGCGTAAGAAATGCTAATAAGTGCTGGTGATTGGATAGACATGGTAGAGTGGGTTGGTGGGTACAGAAGATGAAGTTGAAGAGTATCCTGTGGTATCAAGACTGGGAGTTCTGAAAAATAATGTTAGTACCAGAAATGTGGTGGGTAGTTGGGAAGTGTGGGGTTCTTTTTGCTACACTCTACCCTTTCTTTCTCTTCTTTTTTTCTTATAGAGGGGAATATAGGAAGAATTAGAGACTATGTATGCAGCGGGTTAATTGTAGCATAATGCTACCTGAAATTATTAATAGACATTTAATGAACAAGGAACTAACCATCTAAAATATTTAGGAAAGATAATCTTAACTGTTCAAACTGACAGACACTGACATTGTAGGAAATGAAGAGATAAACCCTTCCCCTGTGCTATATTTCAATCTCACAAAGATTTAAAAAGGTATTGTAGATGATATGCTAATAACTGAATTTGTTTTGTTCTCAAGGATATAAAGAATATAAAAATCTGGATTTAGATATGGTCAGGAGCCAAGCAAAGGGTAAAGAAGGTCACGTGACTATACATAAGACAGAATATATTGAGTGCTAACAGAGAGGGGCAAAGTCCTCCTGGGGCCTGGGAAAGACAGAATATTGGGTTTTGTGAAACTATGGAAGGCTTTATTGTGAAGTAGCATTTTAAGTTGTAGATGATCCTACTTAAAGAGAGGTGGTAAAACACTCTAAATGGATGAAATATTTTCAAAAGTCCTAAGGAAAGAAAACATGGGGACTGTCGGGCTTGTGTGAGACGTAGTGATGAGACATAAATCTGATAGGATAAATTGAGATCTAGGGGAGATTTAAATGTCAATAGCAAAATGTGTCTTAAATTTAATACTAATGTTAGTAATAATAGCTAGTGCTTATTGATTGTTAAATTTATATCAGGCCCTGTGTTAGGTGCAGGGCATATATTTCTAGAATCTTTATAATGATTTCCAGGATAGATACTTTCCCTAATTTATAGATGGAAAAACTGAAGCCCAGAGATAATATGTAACTTGGGCAGCCTCATACAGCTTTTAAGTGGAGGAGCTAAAATTAAAAATGAATTCTATGTGAATTCTAAAACGGTGGCAGGGCCTCCTTATTCTAAGTTATTGGAATTGATGCTTGGTCTGTTAATCAGAAAAATCAGTTAAATGCAAAGGATCATAAAATGGTACCTACATATTTTATGTAGTTTTAATATGAAGCAACTAAATGAGCATTAATCATTAATATGTTGGATTAATGCTGCTTCTTTAAATAAGAATCTGCTAATCAGAGTTCCAGGAACCTTAGGATAGTTTAAAAGCTATCTGTCTAGATCAGTGGTTCTCCATTTATGGTGCTGGGACCAGTGGCATTGACGTTGGCATCAGCATCAGCATTGCTATCAGCATCACCTGTGAACTTTTTAGTAATGCAAATTCTTGGGCCCCCACTATATACCTACTGAGTCAGAGCTCTGAGAGTGGGGCCTGCCAATCTGCATTAACAAGCCCTTCAAGCGATTCTGATCCATGCTATAGTTCGAGGACCACCGATTTATAGGATGACCTAAAAGTGCTTTTGCAATTGTTTAGCTTAAGGTTATGAAGATATGAACATTATCTGGTGGCAGTGGGAAGGGAACGAGAAGTTGTGGAGAGCGAATTTATCGAATTAGAGCTAACTAATTAGATATGAAATGTCATGGAGAAGATTGTAGTTAAAGCTGTTTGAGTCTGTACACAGGTATCTGGTTGAAGGATGGTACCATTAACAAAGATATATGTCAGAAGAGAAGGTGGTTTCTGAGAGGATGGGTAAGATGATAAATTTGATTTTGGTTATGCTGACTGAAATGATGAAAGAACATAAAGTAGCCTTGTCCAGCAGGCAGTTAATGTACAGGTCAGCCTTCTGAAGAGATATTTTAGCTGAAGAAAAAGCTAAAAAAAATTACCTGTTCAAATTGAATCTGAAGTTGAAGCTATGAGAGTGGAGAATACATTTGCTAAACTCTTTTTTTTTTTTTTTAAATTCTAGTAGTTAACAATTACAAAGTTTAAGTTTTTTGTCTACTACCTTCTTAATAGTTTGAGAACCACTATAGTTTGAGAACCACTAATAGTTTCAGAACTAATTTAAAATAGTAGAGTGAGTTAGATTTGATCATTGCCAAGTTACAGATGAAAAAACAGTCTTACCCAGGGTCACACAGCTGCGTAGTAGAGCTGGAGCTGGTGCTCATGCCTTTTTAACTGTGTTTTTCAATAGGTCAAATATCTGTGCTTGACTTTTGAGGTCTCTATTGTCTATGGCAGGCCTATAGTTACACTGCTGAAGCAGCCATGGGGATTCCAGGAGGTAGTGATGTGGTCAGAGTTAAGGGGAAATGGCAGGGCAGGAAATCTCAATCAAAAGCAGTTAAAATTGAAAATAAAATCTTTTGGCTACCTAGGTAAGGTGGCTGTTCTTCAGAGCACATTCAGTACTTTAATAAATATTGGCCTAAAGACTATATGCTGGATACTGTGATGGACTGATAATTATGGGAAGAAAATTATTCAGGCTCTCTTGGTCCTATACTGCATATATGCAGGGCTCTTAAGTAGTGATATATTCAAACTGAAAGTCTCGAATGTAGTAGCATTTACAAAATGTATCTTCATGAATTGTTTTTGTCATTTGAGAGACCACAAAATCTCTACCCTTTCTAAATCATGATATTGATTATCATCATTGCTTTTTTATTTTCAGTAAACATGTTTCATGAAATAATTATTCACTTTTGGAATTCTTGCCATCTCATATTTGCTATATTGTCTGAGTTTGCAAACTAGTTTTAATGTTAGCATGAACCTAACATTATGAAGAAAAATGTCCAGTGCACTGAATTGTCTTAGATACTTCTTTCTGTAAATATAGACAAGAGCTGATTAGGTGGACCTAAAGTCATTCTGTGTACATTTAAAATGTACACAGAAACTCTTCTGATGATCGGAGCTTAACTTTTTCTTATTTATTCTTTCATAATTACTGTTATTCTAGTCTGGTTTTCCTCATTAGCTTGAATAATTATAAAAATCTTTAACAACTGTTTTCCCTGCCTTTAATGTACATCACACATTAAAGATAGGAGCATAAAAGGTAAAGTGAAAAGACTCTTAACCCACTAAAGGTTGGGTTTGTCCCAAAATTTGTGCTTGTCATTGTTAAATGATGATCTTTGCCAAGTGTCCCAGAAAAAAAACAACAAAATTCTAGATTATATCATTGCATAAGAGCTCTGCCTTATATAGTACAAGAGATCAAGGAAGCCTGAGTAATTTTCTTCCCATAATTATGAGTCCATCATGATATCTAGCATATTGTCTTCAGTGTAACATTTACTAAATTACCGAATGTGCTCTGAAGAACAGCCACCTTACCCAGGTAGCCAAAAAAATTTCATTTTCAATTTTAACTGCTTGATGATTTGGCACAAAAAACTACTTTAATCCTAGTTTAAGGTAAGAAATCTGAATATGTTACAAATCTTTCTGTGCTAACATTTTTTTTTTTCTGGATATGGTTAATAAGTGAGTTCATGATATTTACTGCATTTATTTAAAAAAAGTTTTTTTTTTCAGCTATGAATTTGTGAAATACCTTAGACAGCATATATGTAACACTTTGGGGTCTATGATTGAAGAAGAAATGGAAAAATGGACATCTGATCAGAATCAGGGGGAAGAATCTGGCTATGACACAGTTGTACAACATGTTACTAAAAGAACTCAGGAATCTAAAGAGTGAGTATGCCCATAATCATATTTTAAAGTAATTTTTCTTTCAAAGGCTCCATGAAAGCACCCCTAAGCAGCCAGAATGATTTGTTGAAAAAGTGAGTCCGAATGTGCCACTCTTCCACTCAACACTCTCTGAAGGCTTCTCGTCTCATTCATAGTAAAATCCAGAGTTCCTTCTGTACCTGACAAGGCCGTGAACCTTCTGCTCCCGCTGCTACCTCATTGCTTATATTCCCTCTCACATAGCTTCAGTCTTGTTCTTTCTCACGAAAGTCAAGCAAAACCTTCTCGGGATTTACACTCATGTTGCATCTGCTACTTAGAATGAGCCTTCTCTAAATATTTACATGACTTACTCCTTTACTTTTTTTTGGTAGACTACTTTTAAGGGCAGCTTTAGGTTTTTAGCAAAATTGAACAAGGTACAGATTTCTTTCCCATATACCCCCTTCTCCTATACATGCATAGACCTCCCCATTATCAACCTTCCCCACCAGAGTGGTATATTTGTTTCAATTGAGGAACCTACATTGACACATCATTACTACCCATATATTGTAGTTTACATGAAGGCTTGCCTCTGGTGGTGTGCATTCTGTTGGTTTGAACAAATAATGACATGTATAATGACATGTATCTACCATTATAGTATCATACAGAGTAGTTTCACTGCTCTAAAAATCCTCTGTAGTCTGCCTGTTTAACCTTCCCCCTCCCAACCTATGACAACTACTGATCGTTTTACTGTTTCCATAATTTGCCTTTTCCAAAATATATAGTTGGAACCATATAGTACGTAGCCTTTCAGATTGGCTTCTTTCACTTAATAATATGCATTTAAGTTTCCTCCATGTCTTTTCATGGCTTGATAGCTCATTTCTTTTTAGCATTGAGTAACATTCCATAATCTGGATATATCAGGTTTCTTGGATGCTTTCAAGTTTTGGCAACTATGAAGTAAACTGCTATAAACATTATGTGCAGGTTTTTGTGTGGACATGTGTTTTCAGCGCCTTTGAGTAAATACCAAGGAGAGTGATTGCTGGATCATATGGTAAGAGTATGTTTAGTTTTGAAGAAACTGCCAAATTGTCTTCCAAAATGTACCATTTTGCATTCCCACCAACACTGTATGAAAGTTCTTGTTGCTCTACTTATTTGTCAGCATTTGATGTTGTAGTTGTCGGGATTTCAGATTTTGGCCATCCTAATAGGTATGTAGTAGTATCTCATTGTTGTTTGCATTTCTCTGATGACATATGATGTGGAACATCTTTTCATATGCTTATTTTTCATCTATATTTCTTCCTTGGTGAGTTATTTATTAAGGTCTTTGTGCCATTTGTTAATCAGGTCGTTTCCTGATTGTGGAATTTTAAGAGTTTTGTGTGTGTGTGTATTTTAGATGACAGTCCTTTATCAGGTATGTCTTTTGCAAATATTTTTTCCCAGTCTGTGGTTTTTCTTGATAAAACTTCTTGCAAAGCAGAAGTTTTTTAATTTTAACGAAGTCCAACTTATCAATTATTTTTTTCATGGATCATGCCTTTGGTTTTATATCTAAAAAAGTCATCACCGGACCCAAGGTAATCTAGACTTTTCTGCTGTGTTATATTCTAGGAGCTCTATAGTTTTGCGTTTTATACTTAGGTTTGTGATCCATTCTGAGCTAAGGATTCAAGGTGTGCTTGTTAGTTTTATTTTTTTGATTTAGATATCCAGTTTTCTCAGCACCATTTGTTGAAAAGACTATTTTTATTCCTTTGTCAAAAACTAGTTGACTGTATTTAAGGGTATTTCTAGGCTTCTCCTTCAACTTTTTTTTTTTTTTTAGTATTATGCTGCATGTTTGGTTTTTTTGCTTCTTCATATAAACTTTAGAATCAGTTTGTTGATATTTACAAAATAACTTCCTGGGAATTGGATTGGAATTTCATTAAATTTATAGATCAAGTTGAGAAGAATTGACATCTTGATAGTACTGAGTCTAATCTATGAACATGGAATATCTCTTTATGTATTTAATTTTTTGATTTCTTTCAACAGAGTGTTAAAGTTTTCCTCAGGTAGATCTTGTATACATTTTGTTAGATTTATACCTAAATATTTATACCTAAACATTTTGGGTGTGCTAATATAAGTGGTATTATGTTTTTAATTCCAAAGTCTACTTGTTTTATTGCTGATATGTAGGAAAGTAATTGAGTTTTGTATGTTAATCTTTTATCTTGAAACCTTTCTGTAATCACTTATTAGTTCTAGAAGTTTTTTTGTCAGTTCTTTCAGATTTTCTATATAGATGATATCATGTGTGAATAAAGACAGTTTTATTTCTTCCTTTCCAATGTGTTTGCCTTTTATTTCCTTTTTTTGTCTTATTGCACTAAGACCTCCAGTCTTTTCTGACCTCTCTTCATAAAGAAGTAATAGGCCTTTCTTTATTACTCTCTATTTTTCTTACCTTTCTTTACTTTTTTCTCTTAGCTCTTTTTTGTCACTGATTAATAAAGCATAATTTTATTTGCTTATTTTCTGCTATTTTAGGTGTTTCCCCACTAGACTGTAAGCTCTAAAAAGTAAAAGAGTGTATAATTTTATCTGCCCCCTGCCCCATTTTTGTGTTCTTTATGCTTTGAAAATGCCTGGCACGTTTTAGGTGCTTAGTAGGTATTTTTGGCTGCATTAATGACATTGTCTCTTACCAATATAATACATTTTATGTTACTGATGTTTGTCATAATTCTAAATTTAGCAGTAAATCACTTTCTCTTCTCCCTCATCAATCATATACTAATCACATATTTAATAAGTAACATATATTATTAGACCTTGGGACTGTAAAGATGAATAAGATGCCTCTACTCTCCAGTAAGCTATAATGTATTTGAGAATTTGACATTTTACTAAAATAGAAACTCAAGAGTTTCAATATAGTATGGTAAGTGTCATGACATGATCACATATGAGAATATAGAGGAAGAGTCTATTAGCTGGAATACACATTAAACAGCTACAGTAAATAGCACCAAAGTGTAGTGACTCAGAGAATGCAGTTTTTTTTTTCCCTTTTCTTATATAATAGTTCAGAAGTACATGAGTGCAAGGTAGGTAGGCGTGTCTGTCTAATGAGTTTATCCTGGGACCCAGGTTCCTTTTATTTTATTGTTCCATTATATCCTAGGGCAGAGGCTGGAACACTTTTTCTGTAAAGGGTTATAAAATAAGTATTTTAGGTTTAGCAAGCTGTTATAATGTGAAAACTGCCATAGATAATAGTGTATAAATAGAAGAGTATGCATGTGTTCCAATAACACTTTACAGAAACAGGTGGTAGATTAGTTTACATCCATAAGACATATTTTGCCAACCCTTGTCCTTGGGTATTGCCTTCATTTGCATGATTGAAGCTGCCACATTGACCACACAGCTGTTTTTCTACCTTACCAAGAGAAGAGAAAGTGGAGGGTAAGATTCTTAATTCACTCTCCTTCCGTTGGCTAAAACTTGGTCATTTGCTCACACTTATCTACAGTGGAGACTGAGAAGTTTAGTATGTAGGTGATGATCATATGTTACAAGGGTTCTAACCTAATACTACATGGAAGAGGGGGAGAATGGATACAGGGGATAATCCATAAACCTTCTCAGAAGGGTCATTCTGTCCAGTCTCAGAGTGGTTGCAGAAGACTAAAAAGGGTAAATTAGCCACTTATGAGCTCAGTTTTTATTAAATTAATGTTAACTCCATAGATCTTTAGGATATTGGTGCTTGAAAATACCTTAGAAATTACTCACACTAAGCCCCTCACTTTATAGGCCAAAATAGGCAAATTAAGTGACTTGTCCAGAATGGTGCAGCTATTTGAATACAGAGTTCAATGTAGAGCCTGTCTTTCTCTTAGTTACCTTTTGGGAGACACTTTTCAGTGTATGTTGTCCTGTAAGAATTTTTACATTGTTTTCTTTACAGTTACTTTTTACAGTTTTTTGTATTGTTGACTTCCTGTTAATCCTCTATAGATTTCTAAGGGCAAGAACTGTGTGTATATACATGTCTGACCTTCAACCCTTTATAAATGTTTTAATGTTCATGTATATTATTCATTTCTGGCCTGACAGAAAATGGGGAAAATATAGTTTTTCTTAATTTGGTACTTTAAAAGCTCCATCTTTTGACTAAAGAGATCGTGAAGCTGAAAATTGGCTAGGTGAGTGGAAGACTTGAATGGAAGTTGAATGGATACCATAGACATTAGGAAGCCACTCCTGGGGCTTGAGCAGTGGGACAGCATGACAAAGTGCCTCAGTCTCTTATAAAAATACAACTTAAAACAGAGCAGTAAAAGAATTTGAGGTTTTTCCCTCATATTTAAGCTCAGCTATTCCTCATTTTAATTATCTTTCAACCCTTAATTATTGAAAATCTGCTCTACCCCTGCAACCTGCCCCCTGACACCCCAGCATGAAATGTGACACAACATAAAATTTTAGGGCTGTAAATGACAGGATAGACAGAGTAGTTTTCTATTTTCTTCTTAAATCATTCTTATTAGTGTAGCACTATTCCATAGCTTAAAATCCTTAGGGAAGCTAGGATATTAGTGTTATCTAATGTTAAAAAATTGCCTTTTGAAGCTAGATAACATTGATTTTTTTATTCTAATAAAATTTTTACTTTACTTTTATGCACAATTAAACATTTTTAATTTGAATCCCACAAGTTTATTTTTGGTGATGATTTGGAAACATGACATTTGCTTTGTTAATTCTAGTTTCTGGAGTTGGATATATGTGATGTCTCTCGGTGCCTTTGGCATTTAGTTTCTCTCCGTGCTGGACCATCACGGTTACTTCCTATGTAGTTTACAGACAGATGTTGAAGCTTAGAATATGGCGCATCTTTCTAGTATTAGAAAAATTGGAGTATACACTTGAGCTTGTATTACCTATTGTATTTGAAAGCATCGAATCAGATTTATTTTTAATTAAACTTTTATTACTTTGGACAAGACCTCTTTCCTTTTGTGACATCTGATTATATCACTTAAATATGTTATTTGACAAATGACAGTGTACAGCTATTAATAAAGTTAGCAAGTTTGAATCACATAATATATATTAAGTAAAAGCCATAGAGATTAAGATTTCTTATTTGTTGATTTGGAGAAAAATCAAGAATTGGAGTTTCTCTAGCTTTGGGTAATATAATTCCTAGTAGTCTATTTCTAGCAGTATTATTAAATTTATTCTAAACCGAGTATTAAAATACTTTATTAGTCAAGAAATGAAAGCATTTTAATACTACAAGCAAAGTTTTATATGGGATTATTAGAAATTACTCTTTATCTCTGGGTAAGCCATTTAATTTTTTTGTGTTTTAGTTCATTCATGTATAAAAATTAATACAATGATAATTACCTCACAAAGATTTTAAATATCTTAATGAATGCTTGTCTTTTGCTTTGTAAACATGGATGAAATACTTTAAGTTGTTGCGGAGTATTATTTTCTTTCAATTTTTTTTGTGATTCTTTAGCAATTACTTCAGGCTAATGTGGCAACAGTACACCCATTAACATTTTCACTGTAATAATTACAGATTACTTTCCAAATTAAACATTTTGATATTTATTTTTTAAATAGAGGTTTGCACATGGAAGAATTCATTTTCAAGATCGATCGTATATTATTTTTGTATATAAGTGGGAATACTCACTATGTAAATTTTCATTGTTAATTGATGTGGTTTTCATTCACTACCTCTTAGAGTTTTTTCTTATTTTGACTTCTTGGAGTATGAAGGAATCTTCTCAGTGGTATTCATTTGCTAACCTATATCTGTTTTTCCTTGGCTTTTTCAAAACTGCAATGTCTATTGTTGAGTTTTAGTTTATTTAACTCTTGATATTGAAGGTCTGGCTCCCTAGTTTTCTTTTCTGTTTTTGTTTGTTTGTTTTAAATCATTCTTATCTTCCTGTGGCCAGTTTTCTGTTTTTTCGCAGAAGAATTCATGCTGGTGGTTTCAAAAGGTCTGGAAGAAACATGTCTAAAATGAAATTTATAGATTTTCTATGGATTTTAATTACTCTTACTCTTACCCTGTAAATCATTGCAATTTACGTTTATAGTCCTTCATTAAATCACAATATTGTAAGTTTTAAGGGGCCAAGACTTTATGTTGTTCACAGGGTTATCCTTGACTGCAGTGGAGTCTGGAAACTATAGTTTAGTCCAATGCTCAGCTATAATCCAATTACTGTGGAAGGAGAAAGCAGCTTTTGGTAGATAGCTATTGATTGCTACTACAGCATTGCTACGCTTCCCTGTTTCTTGCTTAGAAGTTATAGAGGAGGAACCTAGGGGCCTCCTGGCTCATGTATCCTGTATATACTTCACCAGTTAATCTGAGTGTTCTAAGATTCCTTTTTGCTGTTTATATCCCTTTAAACTTAGATATTTCCTAAACTCTTTTCTAACCTCTACTTTTCCTTATATGTTTTCACCCAGTTTTGTTCTTAATCTGTTCTTAATCTTCTTTCAATATATTTTATGTTTCTCATAACTTCTGGGACTTTAAAACTATATATATAACAATATGTATTATATTACTTTATTATAGTTATATATATTAATTATATATTAAGTAATATGACTATGTGAGTATATTTTAAATTATATATAGAAATTACATATATTTAATAATATATAATGTAGATCATTTAAAATGTATTTAAAAAGTTCTTCAAACTTTAAAATCCCTGTCTACTATTTCTATCTTAATGCCCTAGCATGGTTTTATTGCTTTTGTGAGAGAAAGAGTGGCCTGTCTGTCATTCCTTTGCTTTATGTAGGTACAATGACCCATTAACCAGAAATATAAAAGAGAAGTTTTTGTGCTTATTTTCCTAATTTATTACCATTATTGTAATGATAAACAATAAATATTTGTATTGTGCTTTATATTTATAAAGAACTTGAAAATATATAGTCACATTTATTTCTTGCTATAGTCATGTGAAATAGAGCTGCTAGATTGTATTCTTTTTATCTCATTTATAGTTGAGGAAAATGAGACTTGTTTACGATGACAGCCGATAGGTAAACTAGTCAAGATGCTAGTCCAGGTTTTCTGATTCCTAGTTTAGTACTTTATTTGCTATGTTTATTTAAATCTTTATTTAATTCTATATGAAATATAGAAATTTCAATGGTTCTGGTCACATATTCCTCATTCGTAAAATAAAAGGCTCGACTAGATTATTTTACAGTAGCATTTAGCTCTAAAATTCTATTTCTAGAGTTGTAGTTCTCAATCTAATATTTATATGGATGCTTGAGATTTTGTACTTAATAAATGGAGAAATTTATTATAGGTTCTCTTTGAGACTTTTAGACCCATGGAGCTGAAAGGGATCTTAGAAGTTATTCAGTTCAAGCTCCTACAAATTTCAGGAATCCCTTTTCTAACAGCCCTGATGGCGAGTTCTCTAACCTCTACTTGAAAAGACCCACTGATAGCTTAATGTATTTAGGTTTCAACTGTGGATACAGATGCCTATAGATATAAAGAATTGGCAGGGGAGAAGGGAAGGAAAGAAAATAGAGGAAGGAAGGATAGAGAAAGATCTAGAAAAAAGAAAGTATCAAATAGGCTGTGGTTTGGTTATATGATACTAACGCTTGACTTTATTGCTAATTCCTAGAATCTATGCCACTGGAAATTCTTGCCTTGGATTCTGTTAATTTTACTGTCTTTGTCCATGTAACCATATGAAACAACGTCAGAAAAACGAACTTTTTGTTGGATTCCCTACTAATTTTTTATTCCTATCATGTGACTTCTGTTGTGCTATTTGTTCTTTAAGAAAAACTGACTTAGACTTTTTTCTCTTTAGAACTGTGTTCTTAAAGAGATTTTACTGAAAAAGTAATCAGGTAGTTTAGGTGAATGTTTTAATTTGTGCTAATAGCCTTTCTCTTACCAAGACTGCTTTGAATTTAAAGATACAAAGAAATGATGCACTCCCTGAAGAACGTCATGATGATAGTGGTGGAATCTATGATTAACAAGTTTGAAGAAGATGAGATACGAAGTCAAGAAAGGCAGAAAAAAATCCAAAAGGAGAAAAACAATAGTTACTGCACAGACAATTGCTCTGATAGTGATTCGTCCTTTAATCAGGTGTGTTGTTTACCTTTGTACTTATGTCTTGAAATTGTGTTTAATAATCACTGGCTTAAATCCATTCTTTATTAGCCAATTTTTTTTTTGGTTTCTAGTTTTTAAGATTTAGAAGAAAAATAAACAATAAAATAATCCAATTTACAAGATTTAGTCCATGAAATAACATCTTCTAGAATTATATGTTCAGTATGTGATTACAGTGTATCTGAGACAATTCTTAATGAGGTAAGGAAATAAACTAATGGATTTTGTATTGAAAAAATAACATGAAACAAATCTGGTTAAGCTTTAATTAAACAAACCATCTTATTCTCAATTCTGCTAATCAGAGTTTACTACATTATAGATGAGCTATGGAGATAAAACATTCCTCTTAGGTGTGTTTTGGAGATGAAGGTTGCCGTGAGTTGTTAGTTTTAAAACATTGTTTTGTTTTATTTTTGGATGTCAAGAGATTTGAAGTTTTACATTTTCTCTTTCCAGTTTGTTGGAATCTTTGTCATTTGGCTACAATAGAGATGAGAGAAAGATAGGCCAGTGACTAGATTAGTCCTAATAGAAGACAGGAAATTAGAGTAGAGCCCAAGCATGCACCATGAACTTACACCCAGAAACTCTCAGGCCAAATAGAGTTTGTCTGACCTTGGTGTGAATCCTATCTGATATTTTTAATGAAATATTTTCATCTAATTAGCTCTGATATGGGGGCATATCTATATAGCAAAGGTCTTAACGATATGCCAAAAAGGAATTTAAGAAGTTTGAGTGAAACATGAAAAAAAGTGTGTATATTTGTCACAGTTCAGACTGCACTTTTGAAAAATGGTATTGGAAGTAGTCAAAGCAGAACTTAGAAGTTGCTCTGCTCAGCTACCATTGCATCATTTGGCAAGAGAGACTGTGCTGAGTTTTCAGTTTTACAAGTCGAGTAGACTACCTGATGAGATGGAGGAAGTGACAAAGATTGTGAATTTTCTTCATTTTGTAGCTGTTAATCATTCATTTCTTGGTGATGAACTCTTTGGAAGATGTAATATAGAGATTTTAGTTTAGTTTAATGCAATCAGATAGCTTATTTAGTAGGTTTATTGAACTACTTCTTTAGATCAAGGACTTTTTGAAATTAAAAGGTACAGAAAAACCCAAACTTATTTGATGAACCATCTGAATATACTGAAATAGAACAAGAGACAAAAATGGAGCATTGTTAATTTGTTCTAAGAAGTACAAGTATTCAGATCCAAATAGCATTGATTGAGTAGCTGGCAGTTAAGAGATGCTAATCCCAAATGCTAAATGATTTCCAGTCAGAGAATCATGGATTTTTTTGAAGAAATTTAAAGCTTTGGTAGAATGGGATCATACTTTCAGGAGATATTCTTGTTTTTTATTTCATTTCATTTTGAATCTTGAGAAGGAATTATGCTTTAGTTTATATGGCTTCCTTTGTGATGTTCACAAGGTATAATCAAATATTTTTAAGTGTTCGCCCTATGAGTATGACTTAGTTTCAGAAAGAACTAATTGAGTTGAAAATGAAGTATGTCTACCAACAAGGCCTGGTATCTTTGGACTTTTTGAAAGAAGCCTATGCATGTCATAACTATCCTGAAAGCTCTTTCAGTGTGGCCAAGCTCTAGAAGATATTTGGGTAGGCTTTTGCTTAGTGAAAAGAGACTTGTACATGTGGACTGACCGAAGAGAGACTGATTTAATGATTGGAAGTGAAAAGGTCTCTGAAAATATATCAGAAATTCATTTCATTACATACTTTTGATGTTAATGATACCTTCAGAATTAATAAATTACTTGCTCTGGGCTTAAAAAAAATCTGTTCAAATTATTCTTTGAATAACATTGAGTAAGCAATTTGATGCTGCTGCTTAGATACAGGTGGAACACTTCTATTTTGTGAATAGAATAGGCTTTTTGTCATTGTTACTATTTTTAAAATTGTAGCCTGAGTATGATGGATTTTTGACCATTATTGAAAACCTTTGGACATTGCTGGCTCTGGAAACCATTAGTGTAAGTTTGACAGTATTAAAGAAGAAAGATTGGTTCTTACCATTGTTGTGAGCAGAGCACTGAAAAAATTTGGTATTGTGATTAAACCTGGAAAAAGTCTCAGCAAAATAATGATGGAAAGATTAAAAATAATAATACTAGCTGTTTTTGAGATTTCTACCACATATTTGATCCCTCTGCTTGGCTTTATGTTGGTGTTACTTGCCCATTTTACAGAAAAAAAGTGAGGCTTATAATAATAGGTAAGTAATTTACCTAAAATTGTATTACTAGTTAGGAGTGAACCATGAATTTAAGCCTGGTCTCTCTCCCTCCAAAGTCTGTTCTTTCCTCTATGCTATACTACCTGGAGACTGCTTGGGTTCAAATCTTGGTTCCACCACTTACTAGTTTCGTGACTTTGGAGAAACGTCTTAACTTCCCTGTGCCATAGTGCTTCTTCTTTGTAAAATAGGAATGATAATACCACTTACCTCATAGAGTTGTAGAGAAAATTAACTGATTGAATGTATATCAAGTCCTTAGGATAGTTGTTGCTGCTCCATACGTGTTAGCTTTCATGGTTGTTGGTATATCTTAAAGGATGTGCTAAAATGAATGCTTGCTTACATAATAAATAACAAATAGCAGCTATTTTAGTGCTATTTTTTGATGATTATTTTAAATATTATTCACATTTAAATTGCCTTTTGCAATAAAAAGACCTTTTCCCACAATAGCTTATGGTCTACTATAAACTTTTTTCTAGATGGAAGTTTTTATTTCAGGAATTTTTTACGAAAGAGGAGGCATGGAGAAATGCTAAGGAAAAGTACAGGAAGGAAAAGGAACAAAAAGGTTCAAGCAGCATCGTAATTATACTGAGGGTACTATTAGTGCTTTCTTGTTTATGTTGCTTTATCCTTTGGTATCATTAATCTCAAATTTATGGGTACAAAACATTTTAGCTTTATGTCTTTTGAGTCTTATAATGTTCTACACATTCCAGTTGCTCAGCAAATAATAGTTTTCATATAAATGAAAGTACACTGTTCTAGTGGGACATTCATTTTCCATTTAAATGCCTTGGGAGACAAAAATTCTGTTTGCTGCTACATCAAAATAGATCACCCCCTCTTCTTGTTAAAAATGCATTTTTTTTGCTTGTAATTGTTTTAAAAGATCATTTATAGCAGTACTTCTAAAAGTATACTAAATAAATCTGTTACTTGTGTTACAGAGTTATAAGTTTTGTCAAGGAAAATTACAGTTGATTTTAGACCAGTTGGATCCAGGGCAGCCTAAAGAGGTAAGTTGAAAGGATGAATGTCAGGTTCAGATAGATATATGTATATGATTATAATCTGTAGCAGCCAGACTGTTTCTCTTGAAGATAGCCTTTATTATTATGGCAGTTCTAAACTGATATGTCAGCTAGACTTTCCAGTCCTGAAATGAAAGGTCACAGAATGAGGGACACTCTCCTTAGAGAATAGTTATAGTTTGTAAGAGGACATTTTTATTTCTGGTTTCCATTTTGAAGAGATGAAATTATGAGTAGTTGTCCCCCAAGCTATTTCTTCACTCTTGCTTTTTATGAGATATTATAATTATTTCTTTTAAAGAAAAAAAATTGTTCAATGTTATTTCTACTTCTGGAAAATGTGAGCAACTTTGGCAATACATTAAAGATTAGAAACAGGATTTTAAAGAAGCAATTATATTGAATTGTGCCTGTTTATATTTTAAAGATTGTATAACTCATTGTTTATGAAGACTTATTTCATTTGAAAGTCAGCCTGAAAAAGAAAATATGATAGGATTTTTGAAGTTCCTAGACTTTTGTGTATATCTTGCCAGTTGGTCTCAATTTTTGAAATAAATTGTTTTTCTTCAACTTTTTATTTGAAACTGAATGAATAGTTATGACTTACTCCCACTGATTTTTTTTTTTTTAAATCACAGGTTAATTTTTTTCCTCTCAGCATTTTGCATTCTGATTTATTTTCTAGCTTCTTAGTAAATAATATATTTCAAAATATATTAAAATAGGACTTGAATTATATAATAGTCTTATTGTCTTTAGTTTAAATGGATTATTTGGAAATCTATACTTGTTCAGAAACCTTTATTCTACTTTTGCAAGTAGGAAATTCTTAATGAGATTTTGTCCTAAAAATTAACTGAAAAGGAGAAATTACTCAATGTTTTTAAATTCTATCCATAATCCCCCTAATCCAAACACAAAGTTGTATTTAGGAGTTCTTCTATATGAATACACAGAATTTTAAAGTATGTCTGTATTCTGTATTTTTCACCTAAAACTTGACTCCCTGTTTCAGTGTCTGGTTTCCTGAGGTCTTAGCTCTTCTCTGACTCTTCACCTTTTTAAAAATATTTTAATTACTAGATTTAAGTTATTTGAGCTGGGAAACAACCAGAATTTGAGGAAGAAGCTAGAATCAGTGTGTTATTACTCACTAGTTGGAAAATGAGTGGGGGAGAAGCTTTGCGCCATTCATGATTGGAATAGAGCTAGTCTCCACTGCTGTACCTTGGGTCATACCGTTTTGAGTGAGTTCTGATTGTATTTTGAGAAAGATGATTAAGAAGTAAGTTTTCTGTGAAAATACAGAAATTCAATTTTGCATCATGCTACTGAATGACTTTTTTCTACCTCAGTGATTAGGTCAGAAAATATGGTGTAGCAGCAAAAACAAGTACAGATTATTTTGTGAGAGTTGTTCATATTCTGGAATGTGAATGCTACATAATTATTTTTTAAAATTATTATTATTATTATTATTATTTAATTTTTATTTTGGTGACATTGGTTAACAAAATCCAGGAATATTCAGGTGTACAAGGGGCATCTTTTAAAATCAAAGCCCTAAAACTGTAGAACTACCTATGGGGGCCTACTCAAGTGGAGAAAATCTGTGAGACGAGACCATTGGAAAACCTTGCCCTGGTGATTTAGATTCTGCCACCATCCTTTCTCCTATTCCACTTAGGAGATTCTAGGTCACATGTTTAATAAACATAGGATTTTTATTTTTGTTTTATGTAAAATAACCTATTTTTTTCTGTTTAGTGTTTGGTTTTAAAAATGAGTTCTCAAGAATTGTTTTTATAAAAGAACATCTAATTCTCATCAGTTGGCTCTTTAAAACAGTTATCTAGGTTTTGCCTTTCAATATTTGTTAAATATTTGGAGAAATGGTATTATTCTAGTGGCCAAGTATTAATAAAAATCTTTTAAAAATTATAGGTGAGGTATGAAGCCTTGCAAACTCTGTGTTCAGCTCCGCCATCTGATGTACTGAATTGTGAAAATTGGACCACTCTCTGTGAAAAATTGACAATCTCTCTTTCAGATCCTGATCCTGTATTCAGTGTAAGGAAATGCTTATAAAAATATCAACAATAATTTGCTTTTTATCATTCGAGAAATAAATGGAATATAATTTTCTTAAATAGTAGTGCAAATATTCAGTTTTAGCTTTTTGCATGCATGCTATTTTTTAAAGATTTTTATAAAAATATAGCTAACATACAATATTGTATTAGTTTCAGGTGTACACTATAGTCATGCAACGTTTATGTACCTAAAGAGGTGATCACCATGATAAGTTCAGCATCCATCTGACACCGTACAATGCTTCCACAATACTATTGACTATGTTCCCTGAGCTGTACACCATAGCCCCATGACTTACTCGTTTTATACCTGAAAGTTTGAACCTCTTATCCTCCTTCACCTTTTTCTCCCCGCTTTTTTGATTTTTCAATTACAGTTAACAGTCAATATTATTTTATATTTGTTTCAAGTGTATAGCACAGAGGTTAGACATTTATGTAATTTTCAAAATGATCCCCCCGACTTGTCTAGTACCCACCTGGTACCATACATAGTTATTACCATATTATTGACCATATTCACTATGCTTTACTTATTTCAGAAATACCCACTTGTATTCCTTAATCTCTTCATCTTTTTCACCTTGTCCCCAAACTCCCTCCTATCTGGCAACCATCAGCTTGTTCTCTGCATCTATGAGTTCATTTCTGTTTTGTTTGTTTATTTTGTTCTTTAGATTCACATATAAGTGAGATTATATGGTTTTTGTCTTTCTCTGACTTATTTCACTTAGCTTAATACCTTCCAGGTTGATTTATGTTGACCCAAATGCTAAGATTTCATTCTTTTTTATGGCTGAGTAATATTCCATTGTATAAAAGTACTGTATCTTCTTTATCTAATTGTCTGTTGATGGGCACTTAGGTTGCTTTCAAATCTTGGTTATAGTTAAATAATGCCGCAGTGCAATTCTGGCTTTTGAATTGTCAAGATTTCCTTTAAAGGAATTAATTTAGTATTTCATGATTAGATTGAAAATCTGGTCAATATAATAGTCATTGCCAAATAATAGCAGACTTACCTTGTGCATTTTGTTTTATCTTGGAAAGGGATATCCAAGTATTTGTGTCAATGTGTTTGAATTCAGAAAAATATTTTAAAAGACTATATAAAGTGTTTTTGAAAGAATTTATAATATATGAAAACTTGAACTAAAATGATAATTAGAATTTATTCTAAAGGGTTCATAAGCATTTTCCTTATGCATTTAAGTGTTTAGAGATTGCTTAAATGCTTAAAAGCTAAGAGTTTAGAAGATAATTGAGGTGAATCATAATGCAAATTGAAAATTCAAAAAGATGTAAAATTATGAAGTCAGTAAAGATAAGTGATTGAATGTAAAAATGATTTGCATATAACTTCGTAGGAACACTTAGTATATGATTAAAAGTAAGATTATATTAAAAATGCAGTAATTTTATGGGTAATATCTATGATATGAATTAAAAATCCTGACTGTATCCCAGCATCACATTTAAATACAATTTAGGGTTTTTAGAGAGCTTCTTCTTCATAATTGATATGTCAGGGAAGAAAACTTTGACTTTATAATTTGTTCAGGATTTTTGGAGGTGTTAGTACAAGCGTTAACTATTTTTAGGTGTTCGACAAATATGTATTGAATACCTACTGTGTACATCATTTTAGTTTAGATACTGGGAACACACTGTGAGCAAGACGGATATGTGCCTTCATAGAACTTACATTCTAGTAGAAGAGACAGTAAACAGTTATAAAAATATCTCGATACATTTGTCTGTTTAAATATTATACTATTTCATCAATGAAGATATAATTATCTAGTAAACAGAAGTGGTTTAGAAACAGAAGAGGTTTGTTATTTATAAGGAGTAAAAAAGGTATTTAATTATCCAATTACTGAATGCAGTTCAACTATACTAACACCAGAGGGTGATACAGACTTCTGCTTAAAAAACAAAAAACAAAAAACAAAACCTCAATGATCCAAGAATTTCAAGGGGTAAGCTTTAACATTTCAAGGCTCTCTAACAGGAAATACCATTGTAAATTTCCCCATAATTTTTTAAAAATTTTATTTAACAAGGACAAAATAGTCGTCAGGTTTCCTTTAATTATTTTAAAAAAATTATATGACAACTTTATAAACATAGTAAAGATCCTAATAGGTCAATATAAGTGGCTTTAGCCATTATAGATTATTATGTAGCAAGAATCAATGTCAATAATTAAGTTAATAATTGTTAAATATCAGAAGAAATTGTTAAAGAGAGGAAATGGTGATAGAACTAATTCTTTTTATTTTGAATAAATGCTTAATCGAACTTCTTGAGTTTGATTCTGTTTCTTCATTTCTTACTCTAAAGGACTCCTAGCGTATAACTGACTGAAGCCTAAGTGTTTGAAAAGTGTGACAGATACTGATCAATTGCTGCAACTCTAAAAATAGACTTATTAGTTATTTAATATCCTTTGTTCAGTAAGAATCTCTTGGAGTTAGGAAATATTTTTAGTCATGGGTAGTCAACTTTTTGTAAACATATTACCCTAATAGTTTATTTAGGAAAGATTATTAGTTTTTTTTTTCCCCTACAGTAGAACATTTGAGGTGATTTTATGTTTTTATTTTGTGAGAAGTTGAATTTCACTATTAGGCTTAATCTCTTCACAATAATTAAAATAATTAAAAAACAATAATAGCTATCATTTTAAAGTACCTATTAGAGCTGGTTACTATTCTAACTACATCTTTCTCATTTAATTCATTTACCTTGTGATAGTTTCTACTTTAAATTTTAATAATGTCAAGTTCTGAAAATATATTTTTATTTTATACTTTTTCTTGGGAATAGGCAAAATTATTAGAGTCCTACATGTCAAATTATTGAGACTACCTATGTAAACAATTAAAAAAAAAGTTGGATTCTGCAAGGAGTGTTTTTCTGTTTGTTTTTGTTTTTTTATGTTTAGTAATCCTACTCTGTTTCCTTGTTTGACATCTTTGCATTGTACCTTTCCTCTATCACACCTCACCCTATGTTTGTATCTACTATTACCAGATTTCACAACAATGTACTGCTGTCTTAGATTTACTATTGGTTTTAGTTATACTTTTTGCTGACAAAAATAAGAACATGCCCTTTTTTATAGGTACACTCCTATACATGTTTCTGAATGATTTATTTTCTGAGCTTTTTACTCTGTGAAAAATGATTCATCTTATTCTATTTTTGTAAGAATTTTGGATGTAAATCTTTTGTTTTATTTTCATAGGACCGGATTTTAAAATTCTATGCACAGACATTTACGCTTTCGCCGTTACATATGACCAAGGAAATTTATACAAGCTTAGGTATGTTTATTAAATATTTTTAAAAATGTTTTTTCTTTTATTTGTACTAAAGAAAAATGGATAAGATTTCACTCTTTTTCAGAAATCCCTGTAATTGAATGGTATAATAGTCACTTTTCTAAACTTTTTTTTTTTCCAGCTAAATATTTGGAGTTATACTTTGTTTCTAGAGAAAATCATATTCCTACCGTTTCAACTGGTATAGATATAACTAACCCTAATGTGACCCGCTTACTTAAAAAGGTATTCGTTTGCTAGAATATGCTTTTATTTTTTATTTAAATAGTTCTATATTTTAGAATTCTAATTTTTTGAGAACTGTCATGCACTGCTTTGTAGATTCGCCTTCTAAATGAATATCAGAAGGAGGCTCCATCTTTCTGGATTCGTCACTCTGAGAAGTAAGTCCCTTAATTTATGCCAACATGAAAATATAGGAGTGTCCCACGTACATTTCCAAGAGAAAGAGTAGAGAGTATCTTAATGGATTTATGTGATAGGGAAGGGATTAATAATGTCTGTTTTTTAGCTTTTCATATTTTGTACTTAGCTTTGTGAATGGCTCTATGCAAGTGCCATTTTATACCATTTATTAATCACCACAAAGTAAAAAGAGGGTGTTGTAGCCTCTGGTTCTTTTATTACTGGTCTCTGCTACTTTGGTCAAGATTTTAAGTGGTTTTCAAACTTTTTCCTTTTAGTTCTAAAATTTTTAATAAGGTCGTAAGAGCAACTGTGAGTTTAAAAAGGAAAATTAAATTTGGATAGCTAGTGTTAAAGTCGAAAGAATGTAAGTTTATAAAACAGGAAAAAAATTGGATGTGAATACCAGCTCTGCCATTTACTGAAATGTAAAAACAGAAAGTTGTTTCTGAAGATTACTTAACATTTTATCATTCCATAAATATAAAATGTATCGCCAGTTCTATATATGTAATAGCATTTGTTTTTTCTAAAATCACTTCTTTCCTAAACTTTAAGGTATATGGAAGAAATTGTGGAGAGTACTTTGTCCTTATTATCGGTTAGACATGATCAAAGCCATCTTGTCTCACAAAAGATTTTGGATCCAGTCTACTTTCTTGCGTTAGTTGATACCAAGGCTGTGTGGTTCAAAAAGTGGATGGTAAGGAAAAATGAAATACGTTTTTATACCTTTCAGTTCATATATTTCAAACAATAGCTAATGTTTGTTTACTGTGTTCTAAGAATTATAATCACTTTTATATGTGTTAACTCATTAATTTTTATAACAATCTATGAGATAGGTGGTATTATTACTCCATTTTACAGATGTAGCACCTGAGGCATAGAGAAGTTAAATGACCTGCTCATGATTGTTTATCTAGTAAGTGACAGAGCCAAAATAGGTTTTTAAGTGGTAATTCATGTGAGCCTATTAAGTTGAATGACTCATCCAAAATCTCATTGTCTTTACTTTTTTAAGCAGGTGAGGTAGAATATGAAAGTTCAATGCTCATTTTTCTCTGGTTTAAGTGATATGTCTGAAAATATTTTGCACCTTCCCGAACCTGCAGTTTGGGAAATGTGTTTAATGTCTAAATGCTGATGATTTCCTATGGAGCTCACCACTGTCCTGGAACTGAAATTCATATTAAGAGTAAAGAGATCCTTATAGTGCTATCTCCCTCCTTTGCTATTAATAAGAGTGGTCTATATCTGATGGTAGTAGCAGCAGTGTTGCTTATATTCTCACCTCTTTGCCCTTTTCATCCTGTCTGCTGAACATTACATATTTGTTGCAATGGAGAAAGAAGGGGGCGAGCCCATGATTTGCCATGTAAAACAGCAACACACTCATTTATTGCTTAGCACAATTGGACATTATCTAGCTGATGGACTTTTTTTCCCCTTGTGTTATATGAACTGTATAATAATGTCCAATTAACCAAAACACTGTTCTGTCCAATGCTTAGCCTTTACTTGCCCTAAATAGTAGGTGCTGATAAATGTTTGCTCAGTTTAATTAATTTAACCTGAACTCTTTGTTTCTTACATCTGAGACTGACCTTTTTCTTAAGTTTTTCTTGATTATAAAATTACATTATTATAGAAAACATACAAAATATATAAAAGCACAAATAAAATTAAATTTCTCTACAACACAGGGATGATAAACATTAAGATTTTGATATGTAGTTATATTTATTATATATACTTTTATATTTATCTGTTTAGGTCTTTTTTTAACAAAAACCATATTCGACTACCTGTAATAATTAACTTTTTCACACTTAACATTTTTATTGTTAGTGCTTGATTCTTAAGAGAATGAGACAGATCATAGGAAAACTAACGGAAAATTAGTAAAAATTAGCTCCCCAAGCATGTTCAAGTATTGATGAAAATCCATCAAATTCTCTTACACCCTCTAAGGCAGAAGTTGGAAAACTTCTTATGTAAAATGGACAATAAATATTTTTGCCTCTGTAGGCTGTACTCTTTTTCTGTTGCAACTACTCAACTCTGCTGTGGCCCCAAACATCCAAAGATAATATATAAATGAATGGGTGTGACTGTGTTCCAGTAAAACTTTACCAAATCAGGTGGCAGCTGAATTTGGGCTGAGAGCTATGGTTTGGTGACTGGTGTAAGGGACACACTATGAGGATTTTTTTTCGAAACATGGCCATTAGTTTAATTGTAGGTTAACATATGTTTCTTGCTAAAGCTGTAAAAAGATTAATGGTTTTGAAAACATTTTAAGCTATGAGGGTTAAAACACAGAGGGTTTTGATTAACCCTTAATTAACTAAAACCCTATTTGATTAAACCCTATTTCCCAGAATTCTGACAATTTTTACTGAATATTCTGTTTAATAATTTTATTCTCAAGTAAAATGAAGAAACTGCATTGAACACTAATGATATCTAATATAATTTAGTTAAATAATATTTAGGTATATTTTACCCTTTCTTTGTATAATACATAAAAAGCATGTTTTAATCCCACTTATATTGAGCTCTAAGGAGAGAATTAAAGTTTTTTGGTGCTTTGAATCATTTTAAAAATATGATTGGCATAGCATGATTAAGATACTGTCCCTTTAGAGCATTTCAACCTTGCCAAATTTCTGCATATGTAGACAATACAATATCCTCTACAGTATGAGGTTTGTGATTTTCATTCTCCATCTCCACTTTTGTATTTTTCCTTTAGGCTCTATCCTACACTGGTAGTCAGAGGTTTTTTGGTGGTGGTTTTAAAATAGCTTAATATGGAGATTGTTCACAATTGAGGGATAGAATGTTTTTCTATTCATCTTGTCACTAAATCCACAGTTTATTGATATGATTTGGATTCTTGTGATTGCTATGCTTGTAATTCATTGTACATAGAAAAACCTGTTCTGATTACAATAATTTAAAAACTAAGTTATTGTGTAATTTATGATGTTATTGGAAATAATGCAGGGAATAGATTTTGAATGGCATGCTTGACTATTAAATACCCCTTTTCCTTTAATTTTAGCATGCATATTATAGCAGAACTGTAGTATTAAGACTTCTTGAAAAGAAATATAAATCTCTGGTAAGTCTATATTTCTATTCTGTTCTCATGTTGAGAAATAATATCACGAAAAGATATATGATGTAATAACTTAAATGTACAGAATCGAGTGATAATTAATATTGGATAATGAAGTGATCCCCTTTCATGTGATTTTTAAGCTATCATTCTGTGAAACATAAAATAATAAAAGTAGAGACATAAAATACAATCAGGATAGCAGTAAGGAAATACATAATTGCTTAGTAAATTAGGTTTTTAAGAAGCTAGTTTGAAAAATAAACCATATTTTTAAGTATTATCATGTAATTGAATTCAGATCAGGTATTTGAAAGGGAGTGAGCTCTATAAAATGTTCTCATGTTTTTGACTAAAAGTTGCATGAATAAACTCAGAATGCTAAATGCTTTTGCATTTGAAAAAATTGATTCAATTTACACCAAATATAAACTAATACTATAAACTATATTAGCAAAATTTTTTTACATTTATTGCTGTTAGTAGAACAATATGTAAGGGCAGTGAAAGAAATTGAAAAGAAATCAGCAAGTCAAAAAATTGTGACAAACCTGAAATGAAATTTATTAAAATATTTTAAAAAGTATGCTAATATGACTTTGAGATGATGAATATAGTTTATGTAGTTAGATAGAATCTTGAGTTTAGAAGTCAGGTGAAGGAAAAGATTCCTGGAATTGTGAATTTTGGGATGAATGCAGTAGAGCATAAAATGAAAGAAAGAGAACAATAATTGCTTTGTGTTTGAGAATCAAAAGAATTGTGCTTCAGAAACAAGAAGAGAGGGATATTGAATAAAAGAAATTGAATTTATTTGTAGAGGTAATAGGTGCTTAAAAATCTTCAAACTGAATTGAAATAAAGTCTTTCCACATCTCATTTCTCTCCCATTCCCAGTTTAAGTGAAAATTATTATTGCCATATGAGCATAGACTGATCTTGTTAGAATAGAGAAAGGAGAAAAAACAAAGAACAAAATGATTTTTTCCCCCATGCTTTGGCATACGAATAAGTCACTGTTGGTATTATAGAGGCCCTGGTGGAAGTATTTCGAATATGTTATTTATAGATTAACTCTTTTATTTTTTTAAATTTTATTTTATTATTAGTTTCAAGTGTACAGTACATTGGTTAGACATTTATATAGTTTATAAAATGATCCTTCTGATTACTCTTTCTCTCTTCTGGCTCTCCATCTAGCTAATATATTAATGCTGATCGCATTCCCTATGCTGTGCTCCCCATCCCTGTGACCATCTATCAACTACTAATTTGTACTTCTTTAACCCTTCACGCCTTCCTCCCAGCCCTCCATCTCCCTCCCCTCTGGCCGTCCCCAGATTGTCCTCTATATTTATGAGTCTGTTTTTGATGAGTTTGTTCTTTTTGTTCCTTAGATACCGCATATAAGTGAAATCATATGGTATTTATCTTTCTCTGTCTAACTTATTTTACTCAGCATAATAACCTCTAGGTCCATCCATGTCATTGTGAATTGTAGGATTTCATTTTTCTAATGGCTGAGTAATATTCTATTATATATATGAACCACAACTTCTTTATCCAGTTGTCTGTTGATGGGCATTTAGGTTACTTCCATATCTTGGCTTTTGTAAATAGTGCTGCCATGGACATAGGGATGTATAGATCTTTATGAATTATGATTTTGGTTTTCTTTGGATAAATACCCAGAAATGCAATTGCTGGGTCAAAGGTATATCCATTTTTAATTTTTTGAGAAACCTCCGGACTGTTTTCCATAGTGACTGTACCAATTTGCAATCCTACCAACAGTGTATGAGGTTTCCCTTTTCTCCACATCGTCACCAACACTTGTTCTTTGATTTATTGATGATAGCCATTCTGACAGATGTGAGGTGATATCTCATTGTGGTTTTAATTTGCATTTCTCTGATGATTAGGGTCCTTGAGCATCTTTTCATATGTCTGTTGGCCATCTGTATTTCCTCTTTGGAGAAATATCTGTTCAGGTCTTCTGCCCATTTTTAATTGTATTGTTTGTTTTTTTGTTGAGTTGTAGGAGTTCTTTATATTTTTTGGATGTTAACCTCTCTTATCAGATGTATCATAAGTGAATGTCTTCTCCCATTCAGTTTATGTATATGTGCTGACAGTTTTTAAAAGACATACCTGGGGGAGTTCAGAGCTTTATTTCCATAGTATTGCAAAGTCATGAACTAATTGAAAAGCATTTTGGCTATCAGCATACATGCTTAACCTTTTATTTTAACAACTTGAATCTTTTCCCAATCTATCCTTAAGGGAATGGCTTTTGAAATGGCTTTATGTAGTGTATTTCCTGTTTTTCTGGCCCTCTCAAAGTCATTTTAAAAAATATTGACAGCTAAGGTATTTAAATTCTCCCTTGGTTTTTCCTATCATAGTATTTTTTTCTACTATGGGTTTTTTTCTATTATAGTGTATTTTTAACACCTTCTTCCCATCTTGGTATATATGGATAGTGCAAGAAAATAAGTATCAAATTAAATCCTGAATTTTATGGCAAGTTTCTATCTATCTTCCTGAGGTTTAATTAGGAAAATAATTCTTTATACCCTCAACTTGACTCTTTAGACTTGTGTTCAAATTTAATAATCTGCTTTCTGCCCCTGCAATTTAAAGGGGATAGTATGTGATTGTTTCTCTGAGAATAACCACAAGATATTTTTTCTTGTGGTTATTACCTTTCTCAGTAAGGTGGTACATTTAATAAAAGGAACAGCTGGGTGTAAGTGGGTTGTGAAGATGAAGCTGGGTAAGATGGGTGCAAGGAGGATGAATTTCTGAAGGTTTAAATGGAAGCTAACTTCCCTTCAATGGAGATAGTGTTTTGAGTTTTCGGTTAAAGAAGCTAAAGTTAATCTTTGCTCTTTTGTCTCTTAATTCTTTAGAGCTTCTCTTAAGTGTATTTATTTTGTTCATGTCAAAAGTCCTCCCTAATGACAGTTGTTTTTCTAAGTAATTTTTTATTGTTCCTTTTTACCAAGATATGTATAAGAATTAGGATTGTAAGAGTAAATTTATCTAGAAAGTAGTTCAATCAGGAGGAGGTTGCTTCGACTTAGAGAAACTCGTAACAAACATGACATATCATTACACTTTGGGGCAAAATTGTGTGCTTATGAATGGTGTTTTAGGTACTGACCAAGCAGAAGCTAGGAAGGGACTATGTGGTAAGTGACAGAACAGTCATTGACTCCCCTCTTTCACTAATCGACAAGTCAGGGACTGTCCTTATGAAATTTTTGTAGGAGTCCCAATGCAATTTGGCCAGTTGTCTTTGTATGAATCTGTTGCTGGTAGCTGGCAGTCTCAGGGCTGGTGGACTTGATGGATTAGATTGGACTATGCCTCCTTCTGTTACCTGTAGAACACTTCTTTATATATTCAGTAGATGCAGAATAAACTAGAATAAAACAAGAGTTAAGACTCTGTACAAATAGCACAGCAAAACAATTGCAGAAGAATAAAGTTAATAGCAAAAGTATTTACCAAATGGTGCTTCTCCAAAACAAAAGGCTATTTGTACAAATCTGTACAAATTTTATTACAAATCGTAGGATAACAATAAATTTAGCAAGGAAAGCTCAATGAAGCAAATTGGAGCTCAGATTATTGTTGACACAAACTCACATGGTGACAAATCTGAAGTACTGTCAGAGTTGGGACTCAAGGAGACCCAGTGAACAACACTCTTCTTTGTCTGAAGATCCCACTGAATGCTGTCAAGTCAGCGTCCTCAAGGTAATCTTAATGGAAGATCCAGAATTGTCAAGAATTAAGACCACTATTCAATATCTGAAACAGTGCATAAAGCTGAAGTTAGTGCTTAAATTAGGCAAAGCAGATTATTAATCTCATAGGTTTGGGGAACTCCTATAAGGGATTTGGTGGGCTTTTAGAAGGGAGAGTTCAGCCAGTTGTAGAAGAGTGGCAGCTTGGGTAAGACTGTTGCTATCTAACTGGATTTTACAAATATGTTTCCTGGAGTGTGTCTTTTGTTGTTGGCTGATTTTCAAGGGGTTTAACACTGACTGCTTGGCTTTCAGAAGTATGTTCATTGAGATCTATTGACATATATTGATTTACAAAATTTTAAACTTGTTCTACTGGATACCCGTTACTATAGTTATATAGGTTTATTGTTGATTTATTAAGTACATTAAAATCAGGTTTCGGTGTTTGTTATTGTCTATAGAACAAATTACTCTTTTCTGAGGATTGTGGGGAATTTTTTAATTCTTAATGAGTAGGCGTTATCCTGGAAAAGAAAAGGGGTCTGCTTAAGGTAGTGGTAGGAAAATATTTCAGGGCAATGGAATAGCATGTTTTAAAGGTTTAGGGATTGGAAAACACATAGTACATTTCAAAATTGCACATATTTTATATGACTGGATATAGATTGCTAAGAGAAATGTGAATTAGTATTAGGGAAATTTCTTGAAAAACAGTTCTCTGAAAGCTAATATTAAATGGATAAAGGATTTTGAAATTTTTTTGGATGCTTAAAATTGGGTATATGTTAGTTTACTTCAGTTTGTTTAATTCATGCATGGGACATGGCATAATTCCAAAAATAGAAAAGACCTATTTAAAGGAAATCTTCAGCCCCTTCTAGTTTGCAAATGATGGCGTTAAGTTGGTTATAAATGTCCGTTTGAATGGGTTTCAAATCTAACAGGTGTGTATTGATTGATGAGATTTTCAGTGACTTTGCTTTTGATGAATTGGTCATTTGACTAATTGTGTGTTGAACTGGCTTTCGGTGACTGATATTTACATAGGTAGGTTTATTTCTGTGTGTGTGTGTGTGTGTGTGTGTGTGTGTGTGTGTGTTTGTGGCTGGGGGGGGGGGCCTGGGTTGTGTGTGTGTGTGTGTGTGTGTGTATGTTTGTGGCTAGGGAGGGGGGCATCTGGAGGATAAGAGGAATAAGACTGCCAGATCATGAAGTGTTTTCATATAATGTCAAATTTAGGAGATTGGCTTTTATTCTGGAAGTGTGGTGAGCCACTGATAGGGTTTTAAGTACTGAAGTAACTTCATATTAAGGCTTTGGAATATTTGGAAAATGGCTTCAAGGTGCTAGGTGGAGATAGAGCAGAAGTGTTAAAACAAAAAGATTGAGAGACTTTGCAGTAATTCCAGAAAAAGGTGATGGAAACGTGAATAAAGGCTCTTGACAGTGTGAACTGGGATTAATAGATGGACTCAGGAGTACCATATTTACAATGTAGGATTTAGAGGACTTGGCTTTTGAATGAGTGTGGGTGAGGACTTAATTGAGTGACTAATGTCATTCATTGAGATAAGTAACACAGTAGAAGAAAAATAGGAAAGTTGGGAAAGGTAATGACTTTAGATTTGGTAGATTTGGTCATATCTAGTTTGAGAATCAGATTTTTAGGAGGCAATTTCATATTAGTGATCTGAATTTCTAAAGTAATTGATTTAGAGAAAACATATAGATATGAGGGGGTCCCCAAGTCCACCCCAGCTTTGATGGTTTTCTGAGAGGATTCATAGGACTCAGCATATAATCATAATTCCAGCTATGATTGATAATAGAAAAAAAGATACGAAACAAAATTGACATTGGAAAACGGCACATTTGGTGAAGTTTGGATGATACCAAGCATAAGCTTCTAAGTCTTTTCTCATGGTAGACTCTACTTAATTTCTTCAGCATCAAATTGTGTCAGACACGCTCATATGAAGCATTGTCTACCAGGTAAGCTTACTAAAGACTCTGCTCATTTTTTAAAATTGGAGATTGATCAGGAAGGCACCCTCTGCCACCACATACTGTATTCCAGACTCCCAGAAGGAAAGAAGGTGTTCAGCGTAAAACACATTGTTTGTACAAACAGTTTGTCTACAGTGTGCCCCTCTTATCCATTCTTGGAATGGTAGGAACCATCCTGAAATACAAGTCAAGCAGGGTCTAACCTTGTATGCAGTGCAGGTCTTTCTAATTACAGATATCTTGCCATGTTATGAACTTGTTATGAACTTGAGCCACAGTTATGAACTGGCTTTTATCCACATCTGTCCTTCATCTTTTTCTCATCAAAAGCTTAATTCTTTCTTGAACTTAGGTCCTAGCTGCTCTTGCCTCTTGGACTCTTTTCTAACAACTATCTTTTCTCTCTTTTATAGTCAAACTCTTCATTTCTACTGGCTTCTTCCCATAACACTTAAGCATGACCATATCCTTCCAACCTGAAAAAGGATTCGGTCTTAACTCCAAGATCCCCTATATCAGCTCTTCTCTCTCTCTCTCTTTCTCTCTCTCTTTTTCTGCACAGCCAGCCTTCCGCATGACCATATCCTTCCAACCTGAAAAAGGATTCAGTCTTAACTCCAAGATCCCCTATATCAGCTTCTCTCTCTCTCTTTCTCTCTCTCTCTCTTTTTCTGCACAGCCAGCCTTCTTGAAAATGAAAATTATACTAGGCTGACCCTACTTTTTTAGTTCTCATTCCTTTTTAATTATAGTCTGATTTTATTCTCCAAACACCTCTTAAATTGATCTTTTCAAGGTCAACGACAACTTCCTTATTACCAAACCTAACAATTATCACTACTTATCTCACTAGTGGCTTCTTTTTATTTGAGAATTAGAATGAGAGGGCACTTACCACAAGTAGGTAGATACAAAAGAAAGGAGAGACTATTTGAAATCTCTGCTTCTAAGTTTATGACATGAAGATGTGGTACATATATACAGTGGGATATTGCTCAGCCGTAAGAAAAGATGAAATACTGCCTTTTGCAACAATATGGATGGATCTTAAGATTATTATGCTAAGTGAAATAAGTCAGACAGAAAAAGTTGAGAACTATATGATTTCACTCATATGTGGGATATAAAACTGAAAGCTACAAATGAACAAGACAAAGACTCGTGGACATGGGCAACAGTTTAGTGGTTACCAGAGGGAAGCGGGCAGGGGAGAAGGTAGATAAAAGTAAAGGGGGTCAAATATATGGTGATGGAAGGAAATTTAACTTTGGGTAGTGAACATACAATGAAATATACATATATATTGAACTGTACACTTGAAACTTATTTTATTAACCAATGTCACCTCAATAAATTTATTTTTTAAAAAAGAAATATTTGCTTGTAGAAATTGAAGGAGGTAGGATGGAGACTCATAGGAGAGTCACTGGGTACAGTGGAGGTTGGAGATCATTTTTTATTGTGACAGTTTTTTAAATTATGAGGTTTTTCTTTATAATTTTTTAGTAATTCTAGTATCTGAAATAGAAATGAAGGCTTGATCCAGTTTGTATTTTGCTGGCTAGGTAGAAAGAAAAGACTTTAAGGCAAGAGAAGTGAGGATATTGGCAAGTTTTTAAAGTCATGGCTACAGAATGTTTGCATCTTTCACTATTAAATGTGAAGTATGTATTTATTTTTGTTAATTGACACCAACATTATAACAGTATTTATTTAATTGTCAGACTATAAATACTTTCAGTTTTTCCTAGAATGTGCCATAGTTAAAATGTAATTGGGGAGACTGAGCTTCAGTGGCCTGGAAAGATACTATTCTAAATATTCTAAATATTTTTCCTAAATATCTTTCCAGTGTGTTTTTACAGCCTTGAGTAATTTTTAATAATTGGACTTGTAGGCTGAAAATTTCTATAATAAGTTATTTTATTAGGTAACTACAGCAGTTCAGCAGTGTGTTCAGTACTTTGAATTATGTGAGACCATGAAAGCTGATGAGATTTGGGGACATTCAAAGCATTTTGGTAAGTATGGCTTTCTCTGTTATATACTTTAAAAAATGGTACATTTTATTAATAAAAAATAATTTAGTAATAACTTTTATATTTTAATAGTTGTTAGTAACATGATAGATTAGATCACTTTGCTGATGTAAAATATTTTTACAAATTTTAAAGATATACCATAATAATGGCTTTTTATAACAATAAATGTCTCATCATATTGATTCTTACTAAATGTAGTTCTTCAATTCATCCTAGAGTATATACTCTGGTGTGTTACACTGCAATAATATGTGCTCACTTTTTCTTCTAATATATTAGTCATTTAATCATCACTTATAAATTTTAATGGGAAGAAAATATCTGCAAAATATTATTTTATTATTGGACAACCCACCCTGCTCTGTGTTTCTTCTCTATTTATCTTTAGTTTGAGCTAAAAATAGCCTAGATGTTTCATAATCTGGCCCTAATTGCTCTATTCACTCTTATCTCTAGTTATTGATGAAAGTGAATCTTACAGTCAAGATTCTTCTGTATACCACTGTCTGTACACTTTTGTTATTCCTACTCCTACTGCTCCAATCTGTAACCCTCTACGCTAATGTGTAAATTACTTATTGTGAAAAAAATACAATTTATTTTAAATTTCAAGAAGAATTTTCCGCCTATTCTGAATTTTTATTGTTCTTTACTTACATCTCATAACCAGTCAGATTAATTATGTATTTATCATTCTGTTATTTTATGTAGCTTCTCTAAGCAAAGAGTGAGTTCTCTGAGAATATTTTATTTATTTCTGGGTAAATTTTTTTATCTAATCTCAGTGATAAAAATGGTTAAAGGCCAATAATTAATGGGTTTTGAAAGCTAGTGTTTTGTAGTAGAGGAGAAAGTGCAGAAGCCAGAATTTATTCTTTGAAAGGGAGAAAAATATTGGAAGAAAAAGGATAGGTAAGTTTATGAAAATTTATTTATAAATTTATAGGTTTTTCTAATTTCTTGATATTAAAATGTTTTTATCTAGCTTTTTGGTTTGTTTGTTTCCTTCCCTATCACTTTACAAACCCTTCAGGGCTTTTCTTTTTCCCTTTCTCCTCAGGGCGCTTCACTGGCATTATTCTAATTCTTTCAAAAGTTTTGCTCATTTTTCTTTCCAAGTTTTCTGCCTGCAGTTTTCCAGCTTTACATCATTTCAGTCTTCCATCTTCTCTGGTCCTCAGGAAATTAAGCAGAGAGCGTTTGCGACATAAATCGATAGTTTACATACATGTTTTTCTAATCTCAGCTGTTCTCTTTGTGTTGTTTTGGGATCCTCTTAGATGTTCTTTCTCCAGTGTCCCATAATAGCTATTGCAAGCCTTCACCGGTTTCATAAAGCTCCCTACCTTCCCCTTGCCCACTTTTCTCTTAAGAAGAGACCTTGCTTCCTACTTCATTAAGAAAAATAGAACTTTTCAGATATGAATTCCCCAAATGTCCTGCTTCTATACATACAAATGCATGCTTATATACCATTTTTAATATCCCCTTTGGTCCTTCTGTTCCACATTGATCTCCTTGTTCTCGATTTTGTTTCCATCTGGTATTCTTTGTGTTTTTGTTTTGTTTTGTTTTTTTTTTAGAACCAGCACATTGCTTTACTTGTTACTGTGTCTCCTTTTCTATTGTTGTCTTCCCCTGCATCCTCTAAAACTACTTATATATCTTATATATACACAATTGAGCAAGTTCACATGTACTTTACCTCTCTGCTTCCTTTAGAGAAAATTCTTTTAGGTATTCTGTATACACCCAGGCCCCATTTTTTTTTTTTTTTTTTTATTATCTCTTATTCACTTTTCAACTGAGAAATGCGACTTCTGTTTCTGCCACTCCATGACCTTCCCATTATCAACTTTCCCTTTTTTTTGTCCTCATTTTATTGCATTTACCTCTGTTGATACTTTTCCTCCTCTTCCTTGTACCATTGTTTCTTAGATTTCCTCATTCTCATCTAACACATTCTTAGTCACTTGAAGGCTCTTTTCTGTATAAATTTGTACTCACAAAGGTTTTGGCCTTTGTTATTTTCTCACCTTAGTCCACCTGTTCTCTCTTGGGGGAGCTCGTTCATTTGCATGGTTTCAAATATTATATGTTAAATGTATATGGTGACTCTGAGATATTTAAGTCTACACTCCTTTCCTGAATTCTAGACCCATGTATTCATGTCATACTTAGCATAAATATTTGGATGCTTTATGGAGGACTGATATCACTTTATTCTCTTTCTAGACCTGTTTTCCCCCTTTTAGAATCACTTAAATAGAAGGAAAATTCCTTATGTACACTGATACTTGAATTACGAATTTGATAATTTTCTTACTCTTTCATGGTCCACATGTAGTCCTGTCTAAGACACATTGATTTTATTTTCTTAAAGATTTATTTTTATCTATCTTCTCTTCATTCTTTTTGCTGATGCATTTGTTCATGATTTCTTTGATGAGTCTTATTACAAGCCATGACCTTCCATCCACCTTTTATAAAAGTTGCCATCACAGTTTTACACATGCATCTTTTGACTGTTACTTTCCTGCTTAAAACCCTTTAACTTTGTCCCAGTAAAGCTTATATTCCTTCTGCAGTTAAATTTTCCATGTTCTGCCTTTATACTCTCTAGCCTCTTATCTCTCTCACGTGTCCAACCCATTCTCTGTTCATCCCTGACCATTTGCCATACTCTGAATTGAAAGCCTAGTTTCATGCTTCTTATTGGTTTTTGACACCAGTAAATAGTTCAAGGTCTTGTGTAAGACAGATACTCAATAGATCTTGAATGTATGGATGATGAATGGTGAATGGTATATGTTAGAAGATTTTTATTTCTTAGAAATTCTAATTTCATTTGCTAACATGGTTATAAATATGGTCTTTTGTAACATTGATTTTTAATTGGTAAAATTAAATACTAACAAATGTTTTCTATTGATTTCCTTTCTCCCTTGATTTACTCTTGAAGTCTATCTCGATAACAGAAGATAACTCTGACAATCTTAGAGTATTTGTTTTAAAATGAGCACTGTATGCATATGGCACTTTTCTGATAGTTAAATTTTATAATGAATGCTTTCCCCTAGAGATTTAGGTGTTAAATAGGAGAAAGGAAAAATATTGTTTGTTTGTTTTTTAAATTTACACCAAGTGTCCCCATTATGGACTGCAAACTTGTTTAATGTTCAGAAAGGAATGAAGACAGGTACTATAAAACATAATGGCATTAAAATAAACGTAATTGTTTGTGTCTCTCTTAAGGGAACAAACAGAAAACTTTCTACTACTCAGGACAAGAATTACAATATATTTATTTCATCCACTCACTGTGCCTTTTGGGAAGATTATTAATCTATACACATGGCAGAAAGCTATTTCCCATAAAGCTGAAGAATAGAAAAGGTACGTATAATTAGAATAAATGAAGCTGTTCAGATATGATAAGATTTTTGTACTATAAATTATTGGAACTTGGAGATTTTGCATTGTCTCTTCTAGAGTACTTAGCAATATACCTATTAGTCTATTGATGGCTTGTATACCTTGAAGTGTTACATTTTTTTTCTTCTTCAGCATATGCTTTTCCTTCATGTGTAGGTTTTATTTTATTTTATTATTATTTTTTTTAATCCAGGTTTTAATGCTTACCTTATTTCTCTCTGCCTTTCAAAATCCTAGACATACTGAGTGATCCAGATCTGGATTTAGAACTAGAAAACTTTATTTAAATTCTAGTTCCCTATGAACTAGCTGTTATCTTTTGGGCAAATCACTTAACTGTTATTTCATTTTCTTTATCTATAGAAGTGAAATAATGATATCACTGATACTGGGATCACAGAATTTTGGGGTTGATTACAAACATGAGGTTTGAGAATACTGTTTTATAAACTGCAAAGCCCTGTGCCATTTGATATTTTACTATCTTATTGTTACCCTAAATCCATTTTTAAAGTTTTCTCTATCAAACTTTAGCACATGCTTTTAGTTTCTTCTTTGCCTCCCTTCAAACTTTAAGTCTATCCTAGGAATATAGAATCAAATCAGCAAACTTTTTCTGTAATGTGCCAGATAGTAAATATTTTGGGCCACATACTGTTTCTGTTGCATATTCTCTGTGTGTATGTGTGTGCACACATGCTCACGTATGCAAAAAAGAGTTACCATAGCAGGCCCGAGACTGCCATCTTGCATCGTTAGACCTTGGATGGCAGCTAGGAGCTTGGATATCTATTCCCAGAACAGATAGGAGTGGCTCACTTTGCCTAAACTCTTTGTATACACTACGTGGTTTATGTTGAATACCTGCTTTCCTTCTGGGTGTCTGGAATCCTGGTTATGTGTTAGGCAAAGGTGCTTATGCAATCAATCTTGTGAGGCTGCTTAGTAAATCCTTGAATTTGGGAATGGTTTAGGGGATATCTGACACATTTTACATATCTTTAAAAATTAAAAAAAAATATATTCTTAGCTTGTGAGCTTTATAAAATTAGACTATAATGGCTATAGTTTGCCAGCCCTGTTACAGAGTTATCTTCATTTTGAACACTTTTTTTTGTACTGTTTTTTTAGTTGTTTTATGTACCTGCATCTTTTCTCCTTAGTTAGGCTGATTGTGAGCTCCTTGAGAAAAGAAAGTTTTTTATGCTCTTCTCTTGTATTTCCCACGTTAGTGTAATTCTAGGTGTAATGAGCACTCAATAGAGAATTGCCTTTCAAGAAAAGAGCTGTCATTTTATAGGATATTGTTAAACTTTCCAGGAGTAGAAAAATTAACATATACTTGTGATGTTATTGCAGGTATTTAACTGTTTATATGTCTGTCATCTGTAATTTAGCACTTTATGTTGACTTTTAACATATATATTTTGACCTATCAAATATTGCAGGTCATCTCTAAACTCAGTTTTGAAAGATCTATTCTACTGTATTAGCATAGGTCAACATTTACCTTTAAATTTCACATGTGCTTTCACTAGAATCTTTTTATGTGAAGATTCTGTGGCAGGGATTGGTAAACTATACTCCATAGGCCAACTCTGGTACACTGTTTTGTATGGGTTGTGAGTCAGGAATGGTTTTTATATTCTTAAATTATTTGAAAAATTTAAAGGAGAATATTTTGTGATATATGGAAAATATATGAATATCAATTTGGTGTACATAAAGTCTTATTGGAAAATGGCCACAATTGTTTATTCGCATATTATCTATGGCTGCCTTAGTACTACAACATCAGAATGATTTATGAAAAAAAATGGCCACAAAGTCTAAAATAGTTACTGTCTGGTCCAGAAAAAGGTTTTGACCTGTGTTCTACAGTGCTATATAGATAACTTAGCTGGACAAACATGTTAAGCTGAATTGCGTTACTCTAATTGAATAAAATCAAACAGTCCTGATCAGATTCATAGATCTGCCTATGGTAGGTTTGTATTAAGTGATTGATCCACCATAATTGGTAAAACTGCACTTTCACATGGCGCCTGCTACATCACTTACCTTGCCACCTTTTAATTTAGTATGTCTAATTTGTTCTGGAATCTTCTGTCTTGGATTATTAGCCCCTTTCTCCTTGATTGTACCACAGTCGCTGTGAAAACAGAATTGGGGCATGGAAGCTCAGTTAAATTTTTCTAAGTTGTAAGGCTGTGCTAGAAAATAATTTTTTTTTCTTTTTCCTTTTTTGCAGATTCAGTATCGCTTACAGATCTTCTGGTACTGTTTACTCAACTTATTTATTACGCACCAAGTTGTCCGAAGATAACATCAGCTCCACGTTTAGGTAATTCTGCTTCTATTTTAAATAGAGAAATAGAAAACATCTAAAAATATTCAAATATTCTATTTTCTAGATGTTTTGAGTGACCTAGTTTAGTAGAGACATTTCATAAAAGGCAGTACTATTGGTAACAAATTACATTGGTCCTGGAAGTAAACCATGAAATTTAAATTTGTTCATTGATGTTTTAAGATGTTCCTAATCTACTGATTTTTTATTTAGAATTAATTTTGCTGAGAATTTTAATGTTCTTTATTAAGATCAAGATTTTCTTAATTAAGAAATGCTATTAAGGGAAGTTCGATTGATAGTAATCAATGTAATCTTTCTTGCTATTCTTTATCCTTTATGTTTTCCTCGTTATTTTGATTAGCTTGCTTGTTTCAGCTCACATCCAAAACTTTAGGATCTCCACTTACTGAAGAATAAAGCCAAAAAAAAAAAAAAAAAAGAAGTTTTTCAGTAAAATGCTTTTTAGTGTTTAAAAAGTGTTGTAAATATTAACATTTAAAAGATAACATAATTTTTTCTTTGAATATTAATAAAAATTTCAAAGTGAAATATTTTAACAAAACATCCCCATAATCTCTAGACTCATAGTGTCCTAAACCTGGAAGTTACCCTAGAAATGCTGGCATAAATTCTGAGAGGAACTCAAGTGAATCACAGAAAAAAAGTGGTTTGGGCCTTATATTAGAGCTATGATAATACATCTATCAATTGGTAGGTTTTATCTATGCAGTCATAACAGCTTAGTAGTCCTAACGATGGCTTTCAGACTTCTTTCTGCCTTTACAGCATTTACATGTATAAATTACTAGGTGGGGTTCCTCTGCTATATATTCCTACAATATACTGTGCTTTCTTAATGAGAAAAATTTTCCTTCTTTGTTATAATTACTTGTTAGAGTCTTGGTTTACCACCTACTGGATTGTTTTTTGTCTTATTTACTTTTGTCTACAGTGCTTAGACAGTGTCTGGCACATCGTAGGTACTCAAATATAGTAGATAATTGGATGATTGAATGAATGGCCATATGCTCATCGATAATCTCTCTCATTGCAAATGGTTTCTCACCAGAGCTGTTTGAAAAAAAAATTACTTAATTTTATTTCTATTTCTTTTTGTCACATATTGACTTGAAGTCTTAGTATATTCATGGATTATCAAATATTGTAACATAAATTTAGAACTTTGATGTTATTTTAGTGTCGTATCTTACTAAGACAACATCGTTAACCTTTGGTTCCTCAGTCTCTTCATGTAAAACACTATATTTTCTGAGATTATTATGTCAAATAATTTGAAAATACATTAATTTATGAAACTAAAAATATTACATTTATTTTAATGACCATTCCTATTGTTACATTTTAGTGTGTTTGTGTTTTCCTGTATATATTTTAAAAGAAAATCTTAAAAATGCTCATTCATTTCATTGGTTTTATGGTATCACAAGAAGTATACTAGTATATAAGAAAGTTTCTCTTCTCCTCTGCTTTTTTTTGGCCATTATTTTGTCTTAATCACTCTAATTTTCTACCACGATCAACACTTGAATACATTTAAGGAAAATAAAAGTGAATATTATATATAATAATAAAAGCGAAAGTAAGTATTTGCTAAGGAGAGAAAGGTTATAAATTTGCTTCATACGACATCCTCACTGTCAAGCAGTGGTTTAGTGTCAAACTGTAAATGATCTTATATTGTTGTCTTTTGACATTCATTTGTTACTTATTCACTTTTAACTTGAAGATATATTAAGCTAATTGATATCTAAGTTTTCGGTTATAATTTGGTAATACCTCATCCTTTGGGCATTGAGTTGTGTGATTTTTAAAGCATTTAACCTTGTTGATGAACTTTCTGGAATAGCAATAGCTAACCTATAGGTAAAAGATATATTAAGTACTTAATATTTAAAGTTTTAGTTAAAAAAAATTTACTTCTTGCTGTACAGAGAATTACGCTCCCGCAAGTATGGTGACTGAAGTTCTGCGCATACTCTGTGATCACAAAGAATGTGCAATTGAATGCTTATATAACAACACTGTTGTTGAGGCACTTCTTCAGCCTGTGCATAATTTAATGAAAGGAACTAAGGTTGGTATTATTTACTAAAGAGAAGAAGGCTCTTATTAGGGTATTAGTGAATATTCAGTAGGACTTTATTTCTAAATTTTATGTATTTGAAATATTTTATTACACCATCTTTCTACATATGAACATATTTTATTCAAAGATTTTTTATTTTTTATTAAATTATAGTTTATGCAGTCAGTTGATTTATTAGTTATGACTGTGGGAGAAAAATACACATAACATCTTAAAAATTTTTTTTCTAGTTAGGCTTAGCTATGCTGATTGTAAGGACTGAGAAAAGTTATTCTATTAAGAAGCTATTTGCCTTGTAAGTCTAATAAACCTTGTGAATGTTATGTTATTTGTTTTAGTGGAAATTTTATAGCCTTTGGAAATATTATTGTTTTGAAGAGTTAAAGAGTTATATGAAGAACTAGTATAACTTGAGGAAAAAAGCTTATAGACATCCCAATTCTAAACATATGTATGTCTCTCTATAGTTTGTACGGTATATTTCCTCACATTATATAATTCAGTCCTCACAACTGAGGTGCAAAGAAGTGACTTTGTAAAGGTCAGATATTTAATGGAATTGATACAACTACTAGTGCTGCTGTCTAAGATATCCTTCCACTTCTATTACTTAAGCTTCTGGAGAATGACTTAAAGCTTATCAGTAAGCTAAGGCATTTTGCCTACAGGTTTTATTGGTTTCATCTCCTTTCCACACCTATTCCTTAATGCACTGAGCAACTGCTCACCTATTCATGTATTCATTATTCATTATTCATTCAGAAAACATTAAGCATGTATATGAATATGGTATGAAGTATGGAATTCTGGGAAATTAAAGGAGTATAATAATAAATTATTTTGATGACTTATAGTTAACCTTAGTAAAACAAATTAAGTAGAGAAGAAACAAATAGAATACCTAATACAGCTTAATATAATAGAATGCCATAAATAGTATTGTGAAATATAATCATAACGTTCTTTTTGTTGTGGCAATATAACTTCATTAAACTATACTACTACCCTTGAATTTTAGTCTGTGCTATGTTAGCATGTCATAAAATCGTATAATTTGTTATATTTTTAATATACAGTCTGCTTCAAATTGCTCTGAAACAGCTTTAATTCATATAGCTGATATTTTGGCAAGAATTGCATCCATAGAAGAAGGACTTACCTTACTTCTTTATGGAGAAAATATGAACTCTTCTGAAGAAAAATGGTATGTGTTTGTTTTTAATAATTTGTAGAATTTTTACCATCTTTTCTCAATCTAATTCAAAGTTTCCAAAATGTCATGCTATATGTCAATGAAAATCTGGATAGCTATTCTACGTAGAGTCAGGTTTCCTGACCAGCCACTAATAATGTGTTAGATTATCTTTAGAAAGTTGAAGGAGTATTCAGGATTGTGGACTATACAGGCAGAGCAGGCTTTGATATCTGTAATTCAAAAATGAGAATAGGAAGTTTCACTCTAGATGGGATATTTTTGCTCCCTTAGACTTTTCTATTTTAAGATCCCAAAGCCACACATAACTGATTCAAGTCAAACCTCAAAAATGGCACACAAGGGAAAAGCTGACTACTTCCTCATCTTCCTCTGTACCCTTACGTGATTCCATCTCCTGGCTCAGCCAACAGTCACATTTTGGCTCTGCTTCTAGACTTCTCTGCAGTTTTGACGATGTATCAAACATATGTTCATATTCATAGAATTTTTATTCTCTTTATAAAAATTGTATCATATACATTACTCTGCAGTTTTTATGTGTAATCATGAGCATCTTCCTAGGTAAATACAGAATGAAACACTATTCCTAACAATTCCATTACACTTTTTGATATGACTTTACCTTAATTTATTCAGACTTTCCCTCAACTAATGGATATCAGGTAGTGTCTTGTATTTTGCCTCGTAAATAATGCCGTAATAAATGTTCTTTTACTTTATTCTGTTATATGACTGATTACATTAATTGATTTTTGAATATTAAACCAGGCTTGCATACCTGGAATAAAACCCATTTGGCTGTGGCATATAATTACTTTTATACATTGTTGGATTTGATTTGTTAATATTTGTTGAGAATTTTTGAGTCTATGTTCATGAGAGATCAGTTTGTAGTTTTTGTAATATCTTTTTCTGATCTCGATATTGTAATGCTGACCTTATAGTGAATTAGGAAGTACTCCTCTACCTTTTGGAAGAGATTGTAGAGAATTAGTATAATTTCTTCCTTTAAATATTTGATGGAATTTACTAGTGAACCTATTTGGGCTTGATATTTTCTGTTTTGGAAGATTATTAATTGATTCAGTTTCTTTAAAAGATGTCAATTATATCCAGTTGATTGATGTTGGTGTTCAGTTCAGCTATGTCTTTACTGGTTGTCTTCATGCTGGATCTGTCAATTATTGATAGAGGGTTATTGAAATCTTCAGCTATATTAGTGAATTCATCTGTTTCTCCCTGCAGTTCTTCTCTTCCTCCTTGCAGTTGTATCAGTTTTTGCTTCATGTATTTTGACACTGTTAGTTACATACACATTAAGGATTGTTGTGTCTTTTTGGAAAACTGACCTCTTTTTTATTATGCAATGCCCCTCTTTGATAATTTTTCTTGCTATGAAGTCTACTCTGTCTAAAATTAATATAGCTACTCCAGCTTTCTTTTGATTGTCAGCATGGTGTATCTTTCTCCATCCTTTTACTTTTGATAACTCTTTGTCTTTATATTTAAAGAGGGCTTTTATAGACAACATATAATTGGGTCTTTTTAAAAAGAACTATTTGACAGCCTGTCTTTTAATTAACATATATATAGTTGACATTAGAGTGATTATTGATATAGTTCAATATCTACCATATTTATTACTGTTTTCTACTTGTTGCCCTTGTTCACTCTCTTTTTTTTTTTCTTCTATTCCTTTTCTGCCTTATTTTATTTATTATTCCATCATATATGTGTGTTAATCTGTTTACATCTGAGAACATTTTGTCCTTCTGGTAATAGTCACACAGGACCGAGGTCTTTAAATGGTTCACCATTTAATCTTCGCAGTAGCTAAGCAGGGCAGGGGAGCTCTGTGGGCATCTTCATTATATAGATGGAGACATTGAGGCTTGGATTTCCTTTAGTATAAGGGGAGTGATTTTTTTTCATTTCTTTCTTTCTGTTTATTTTTGACTTATTTCACACTAATTATTATTATTTTTTTTGCCTACAAAAATAACACATTTCCTGGCAGTGAGCTTGGGAAGGAGGGAGGTGGCAACAGTAATTAAGTTGAACAGCAGCTTAGAATGAGGTTTAGGTGCAGGAGCCCTGGTTCAGACCACTTGAGTTTGTATCTCAGCTCCACCACTCAGCCATTGCACTTCTCTGGGCCTGAATGTCCTCACCTTTGAATTAGCGATAATCAGCACTACTGTCTTCACAGGGCTGTTGAAACTTTAAACATGTTACCATGTGTTGAGGCACTAAAAGCTAGCTTTTAGTGTGCACACATAGCATGTGCCTTATAGAAAGTGGGCTGGTGCTGTGTGTGGTGTTTTTTTCAAGTATCTAACAGATTTTGTGGAAGGTAAACTTTCTGAAATCCCACCTATCTCAGGTGGAATAAATACATTTGCATAGTTGGCTGATAGCTTGGTTGGGTGGAGACCAAAGACAGGGTTACATTGTCTGTCTTCCCGCCTGCGCTATTATCAAGTCCCATGTCTGAGTTTCTTCTTTTCCAGGAGGCTTTTTTGCCTCTGAAAGTTTCTAAGCCTGATGTTTCATGAGTGTTAACTTGTTGTAGGCCTTTTTAACATTTTTTGGGCTTTAGCTGGACAATTTTAGGCTGAAGACTTAAATCCCTTGGCACAGAGGACTTTGCTTCTATTGGGTGTTTGATCATTTCTCTGCTTCTGCTTTCTTTTTCTTGTGCTACTGTGAATTGGATGCCGAATTCCCAGGAGTGAGCCTCTGGGTCCCTTAGCTTTTCCCTCATAGTTCTGCTTTTCAGTCTCTTTGTTTTGCACATAGAAGATGTTTTTGAATTTGCTTTGATAATCATTTTTACTTTCTAAGAGGTCTTATTCTTGGTTTGGTATTTTTCATACTTGTCAAATGGGCTGGGTTTTCCTGCCTTGGGGAGTACATGTCTCACTGCCAGAGCCCAGGACCAGTGGGGGAGGGCCCCTCCTCCAGAATGCTGACTCCAGCCCCTCCGACTCCCTGTCTAGTCAGGTGCCACGTGGCTGTTCTTAGCTGTGCCTGGCTTCCAACTCTGAGCCTCTCAGGCTTCCCTTCTCCAGAACAACACTGTCCAACAGAGCTTTATGTTATGATGGAGCATTCTGTATCTGCATTGTTCAGTAACGGTACCACTAGCCACCTGTGGCTGTTGAGCACTTGAAATATGATTAGCGTGACCAAACTAAGTCATGAATTTTATTTGATTTCAATTTAAAAAGTAAATGTGGCTAGTAGCTATAATATTTAACACTCTAGAGAATAAACCTTTAGTCTTCTACCAGGATGAGAAAGGGTTGTGGAATGGGAGACTTAGACCACGCCTCCTGTTTGCAGCCTCACCCATGTCCTGCCCTTGGCAGTCCTGGTGTCTCAGACTATTGGACTTGGGCTTTGCCTGAGTTCTGCAGCTCAGCTTCTCCTGGGCTGCTTCCCAGTTCCTATGTTTCTCGCTGCTGCTTTCTACCTTTAAGTCACTGCCAACATCTTTTGGCTACTGTTTCTTCTCTTCTTTTTCATTGTGGGTTTATATCTCTATTTCTTGACCCTTTAAAAAATGTTTGTTCCTGTGGCTTGCAGGGAAGGTGCTAAGTTAAGCATGTGGTTTTACTGCCATGATCAATCTGCTTTCTTGGTTATCTGTTTTTGCTTAATGGCTGTGATATATTTCCATATCTCTCAGTGCGGTAGTTAGCTGTTCTCATCTATTCTCAGAGTTCTCTGCTTTCCTCTGAGGTCAGCTTTTCTATGTTATTTGGTCTTTTCGTATTGCTGGTTCTGTTCATATTTAAGACAAAATGGATGTAGATGACGATTCCTCCACTTATATTTTTTAGTAAGTTAGAGAGTTTCCAGCTAGACATTTTCTGAACAGGATTCCGATTGGCAACTTTTATATCTCATAGATTCTACCAGATAATTTTCCCCTGTTTTAGGATTTTTAACTTCTTGCTGGCAGTGTATGAAAAGCATGGAGTGCCTTTTTTTCATATTTTGTCAGGACTACGCATTCAGTTTGAAAAAGTTTTGGCAACCTAATGGGTGAAAGATCTAGTTTGGATCAATATTGATCTGACTCTTTTTGAATTTGAGCATCTCATTGCTCCTACAGAGATACGATTATTCATTATTTCCGTTTCCTAATCATAATATCCTTCTCATATTAGTTATCCATTTTTTAGTTTGATTTTTCATTGACTAAAAGTTTTATATGCATACAGTAAACATGTAAAGCTTGTTATAAAAAGCAGCAATTCCTTTCTTGTTCCAGGGGTAACTACTTTGGGCTGCTTTCGATGTTTTCTTTCGATTTTCCTTCTATATCATTGATATTATAATACCTTTCGATTTTAGTTTAAGGCATTATCTATTGAGTTTTTACAATGATTTATCTGTTCTCATTACTCCATCTACCCATATACACACACCTGGCCTCCCCAGTTCCCCACCAATTTGTGCAATATAATTGAACAACAGCTTGGTTAGTCATACTATAGCCACCTTATGATCAATCTTCAGAGCCCAGCCATGTGATTACTTTTCTTTCACAATTTCTTGTTGTCTCTTTTGTTAATAATTTTTTCTGAGACCAGTCAGGATGGTGTAGAAGGTAGAGGCTGTGCACATCTCTTTTCATGTCTACACCAAAATTATAACAAAACTACAGAGCAACCAGCATGCAGAGTCACCTGAGGTCTAGCTGAACAGGAGCCCTACAGCTAGGGATGAAAATAACAGGTTACATCAAACTGGTAGGAGGGGCAGAGATGTGAAATGGCCTTGTTCCACAACCGTGTGTGGCAATCGAGAATTGGGAGGCTATATTGGCTGCAGAGCCCCCTCTCCCCGCCCGAAGAGTGAGAGGTCCCAGCTCCACACTGGGCTCCCCAGCCTGGGGTTCCAGCACTGGGAAGAGAAGTCCCCACAATCACTTGTTGTGAAAACCAGCAGAGAATGAGGCTAAGATGAGGGCTGCGGAA